GCAAGAGAAGATGCGTATGCTACTGCAATAGTCAAGCTTCACAGCAGACTTCTGGCCATTTGAGATGGCGCAAGCTGTCCTCCGACACAGCTGCCCTACCTCAGTTTAGCTCACCACACGTCATGTGGACAAAACATCCCGCCGACACTCGACTTTTACGAGTTTGGGGCAGCATGGTCCAATACAGATGATAATTATGAGGAGCACCTGCACCGACAGAAAACTGACGCAGCATCACATGACGGTGCCTGCCATATGCCATCCAAAATTGACGATGATGATGTCGTTGAAGTTTGCCAACCTCATCCTCGTGGTGACCAATCAGCTCTTTAGATCCTCGGATTTGCTGTCGCAGTTCAGGAACCAACAACCGGATCGAGCCAAAAATATTCAAGCAAGCCCTCTCCGGCTCTGATGTTGACAAGTGGCGAACAGCTATGAATGCAGAGGTAGCAGCTCTCAAGAAGCGGAAAATGTGGAAACTCGTTCCACGCGAAGCATCACGCTGCAAGAAAAGTCTATCGAGCAAGTGGGTTTTTCGCATAAAGACAAATGCAGTACGCGAACCAGACATATTCAAGGGGAGATGGGTCGTTCGAGTTTTCGAACAAACCCACAGCATCGATTACGACCACACTTTCGCTCCGATAAGCTGTCATACATTAGTTCGAATTCTTCCCGCCATTGCTGCCAGCCGCCACCTTCGCTCGAGCGAATGAGAGTGAGGAGTAAATGGCGGAAGCGTGAGGAGGCGGTCCAACAGGAACCGACGCAGGGTCGGGGGACGGAAGGCCGAGCAGGCGAAGGGCGGACACCGGCGGGGACTGCTGCTGCGGCGGCACAACGGCGACACCTGGACCGCAAGCTGCTCCTCGGCTACCACCGGCACTCTCCACACCCGCACCCCCAGAGGGACCACCCTCAGGGCGACCGGGACGAGCACCCCCAGAGTCAGCGAACGGGGGCTGCGACGGCGGCGGCGGCGGCGGCGGCGGCGACGGCGACGGCTGCAGTGGCGGCAGGGGCGGCGGAGGAGGGGACTGGGGAGGGGACACCTGGGGAGGGGCGGCCGGCGAGGACTGCACCGGAGGGCCACCAGAGTCAGAAGACTCCTCAACCGGGTCCACGGACGGAAGGGGGGTGACGTGGGAGACACCAGAGGGGGCGGGACGGGGAGGAGGAGGAGGAGGGGCAGGGACGCGGCGAAGCGGCGGTAGTAGGAGACGGACTCGTCAAAGGTGACGTCACGAGAGTGAAAGAAGCGGTGAGACGGTGGGTGGTAAAAGTGCCAGTCGGACGCGTCAAGGGGAAAACCGAGGAAGACGCAGGGAAGGGTGCGGGCAGTGAGCTTGTCCGTGCCGGAGGCACGGACGTGCGCAAGGCATCCCCAGACGTGGAACGCAGACGCATCACCAGGAGACCCAGTCCACAGACGGGTCGGCGAAACCTGCGGCTGCTGAGGGTGCGGCCACAGGTTAAGCTGGTGAGAAGCGTAGCGCACAGCGAACGGCCACAAAAAATGGGGTGCACCGGCATGGACCATGGAGGTGCGAGCGACCTCCATGACCAAGCCGATGCGTCGCTCAGCGACCCCATTCTGCTGTGGGGAGTCCGGTAGGGTGAACGTCTGGGTGATGCCCTCCGCACGACAAAAGCGACCAAGGACACCTGAGGCAAACTCGCCACCACGGTCTGAGTGAAGACGCAAGACAGGGAGACCGCGGTGGACACGCGCAGAGACAAGCCAGGGGATGAGGGCGCCAGGCACGTCGGCCTTGCGCTCCAGGGGAAAGACTGTGGTGTAACGAGTGAAGTCGTCGACAAGCACAAGGAAGTAGCGCTCGCGACGCGGCCCAGGGACGGGGGCGGGGCCCCAGACGTCCAGGTGCAGGGTCTGCAGCGGCGCGGCGGTAGGGGGGAACGAGGAGGAGTGAGGGGCACGGCGAAGCCGACCCTCGACACAAGGCGTGCAAGGTGGAGCTGGGGAGGAGGGAAACGCGGGGAGTGAACCTGGGAGACCAAGGACAAGACCGTGCTGGGACATGTGACGCAGACGTGGGAGCGCAGGGTGACCTAGGCGGTGGTGCCACAGGAGGGTCGGGTGAGTGAGGGAGCGACAGGAGCAGGCAGCAGCAACCTGGGTAGACACAGCCACCTGAGGGGGCGCTCCAGCCGGGGGGGGCACGGTGTCCAGAGTGAACAGGCCGGACACCGGGTCCCGGGGGAACGTGGACAGGGGGGCACCAGTGGCGGCCTCGGTACAGACAGCATACCGCTCGTGACCAGGGAACGTAGTGGTGACGCCAAGGTCCTGGAGGCAGCCGACACCAACTAGGTTCCTGGAGAACGAGGGGATATGCAGACCTGTAAGAGAGCCCGAAGGAACCGCCGGACAGGGAAGGGTGGTGGAACTGCGGGCGACTACCGGACCGCCGGAGGGGTCAGCAAGAGAAACGGCAGCAGGAACAGGAAGCGGCGTCAGGGTGGTGGAGTCGCGGAAGAAACACCGAGAGGCGCGAGAGTCCAAGGTGAAGGAAAGCGAAGCCGAGGGGTGTGGCGACAGAACGACGGCAGAAGCACCAAGACTACACAAAGCAGGGGATCCTACGCCTGACGCAGCAGGGGAGGCTAAGCTAGGCACACATACTCCTTGTACTCCTCTCTCTTCCTAATCCAGCCTCTTCTTTCTCGACATTCCTTGCCTACTCCTAGACCTACTTGCCTCACGCCATTCCATGGCGTCCTTCCTTCCTTCCTAGCTAAGCTAGGTTCCTAAGTTTAGTTAGTGTCCTAAGCTTCTTTGAGAGGGGGGGGTGGGGGGGGGGGGGGGGGGGATTTTTCACGCTTGCTGATGTGTCGATGTGATTTCTCTACCCTTGCTGATGTGCACTGGCTCCCTCGATGGGCTGGAAGGAGGAACTGGCCCGAAAGTTTTGTCCGCTAGCGAACCCAGAATATTTTCCTTACCTACCTTTTCAGGGTGTTTTTTGCTCCACACCAGGCCTCTCGATATCCTAGGGGTCACCCTTCAGTTTCCGAGTTTGCCCGAGATCCAGCTCGTCCAAGCTGGGAGCCTCAAAAAGTTTGATTGTTTTTGCAGGCAAGAGTTTCGTCAAGCTCCGAATAAGCCACTCCTGACAATGACAGGGGGGAATTTTTTTACTAGGCGCGCGAACGTTTACATTAGATTTTTCATGGCGGGTCTATCCGGTACTCAGAAATTGACCGTGGGATGATTCTGGCTTGCCTGTCCATGGATGGGTATCGGTATTCTGAATGCATCAAAAGCAGGGCTAGGTTAAGATTTCACCTTGTTTTCCTTGACCAAACAGTGTAATTACCCTGACTTCCAGAGGCCTGGTCCACACACCAGACGGGCTATGCCAGGTCAACAAGGATTCTCATTCACCCAGCTCAGCTTTTACGGTACTGTTGCGGGCGCAGAATTTTTGCTAACAATTCGAGACACGTGACCACTCTCCCACAATCCCCCCTGCTAAGGAATTTCGGCTAAGTCCTCCTAGCCAAAAGCATTCCTCCTACACCCCTCGCAACCCAGATTTTCAAGTTTAGTCCCCACAACCAGAGACACCTCCCACACCCCTCGAAAGTCGTGACCCAGGAGAATCGGCTAAGTCCCCCAAACCAGAGACATTGCTCTTACTCACACCCCTCACAAAACTTGCAAATTTGGTGAAGTCCCTTGCAGCCAGATACAAAGGCCACTGGACGAAGCTGTCAGACGAAAATGTACGCGTTGTCTGAATTTCAAGATGAAATATAACTGGTGGTCTGTTTTTTCAGACGAAATTTAAACATCCGTCTTAAAACCACAGGCTAGAATCGCACACCTGCGGAGCTCTTGAAAATATGTTTTGTTTATGGGCAGATCTTTTGGTACGTTTTCTATCACGAAATCGTATGGGGAGGCGAAATTGTATGTAATGCGACGTAGCATTGTTATGTTATTGGTGCGCGACTACGATTTGGCATCAGATGCTCGCCTCATCAAGTTGCGACTGACCGCTCACACAGCTCAGTTTTTTCAAGAGCTCCATGGGTGTGCAATAGGTTTTGAACCCAAGGTTTACCTGGGTCGCATTTCGAGGAACCCATGTGGCTGTTCGGCACACAAGTTGCACAGTTTACCTTCACCTTAGTCGCGAGTCGTGGTCAGGGGGCCTCGTAATGTGAGCCTGAATACGTGCACCGAATACTCCCGAGGTACAATAGGTTTTTTCGTTTCACCAAGTTGGCGAAAAGTCATTTGAATCGCGCGCGCGTTTCCCGCCTCGTCGCACACGCGACAAATCGGCGTCACTGCGTTTCTATCATTGTTCAGCTGCCCAAAAATGCACCTCGCAAAATCGTACTGGGAACCCGTTTTTTTTTTTCAAAAGAACTATTTTCAAGAACGGCGCTCTTGAAGCCCCCCCCATGCTATTTTAGCCTGTGGTTTTAACGTTCAGACGAAATATAACAGGTGGTCTTAAAAATCAGATGAACCTAAAAAATCGAGTCTGATTTCAGACCATCAGACCGATTTCGTCTGCTATCTGGGGCCCTGCTATAAATATGCCTGTCTTACTCATTATTACTATCCTTGTCATTTCGGACATTTCCAATACAAGGTGTAAAATCTTCCGCTGACTTTTACTCGTGGTTCCACCAAATCTAGATCCTGGCCACCTAAACACGTGGTTCACTTCTACAAAGGAGATGCATGGCACGCATAGGGGGCATGTGTGCCCGCAAACACATACCGGTACTCCTTTTGTTATTACCCATGTCGCAACTTGAGACCACAACAGGGCCTCAGCTAGGATTTTGGGCATCCTGTCTAGTCAGGGCTAGGCCTTAAAAACACGTGTACTGGTCAGGGTTGGACGTCAATGTTCATGCTGTTTTGTCAGGGTTGGCATCCAGCACTTAACTGCAGCCTCAGGGTAATCTTCAAAACAGCCCAAAATGTTGCTTTAAGTATAATAATAGCAGCAGCATAACACCAGAGATAATCAATATTCACAGTACTGCAGCATACATGTGGCTCGACTCAGAAGTTTCCACCATCCTCCTCATCATCACTAGAACTAAACCCGCTGCTGGAGCAGCTGTTCTCATCGTCCGCTCGTGCCTCATCATCATGCTCCTCTTCGGACAACACCACCACTTTCTCTTTGCCCTTGGCAGACTTCCTCGCACGCACTTCGCTCTGGTGGGCCCTCCTTGGCCGTCTCTTCTTCATGCCGCGCCACACCTCAATGACCCTATCCCAGTTCATGTCATACTCTAGCAAACTCATGCACATCAGATCCTCCAGCTTCCCGTTGCACAGACTCGTCCGGTTCCAGCTCTTAATCACATTTTGTCGCGAGAATCCCCTCTCGCACTCAACAGTGCTGAGAGGAAGCACTGCCACAGCCACCCACAGGCGCACGAGATTCGGGTAGCTGCGCGGCCAGTCGCTGGTCTCCAGGATGGCTGCAAGTCCGGCATGGAATGGCTGCTCCTCTTTTGGCACACCAGCAAGCACTGGCACGAGGGTGCTGAGTTCCTTGCGTGCCAGCCGCTTGTCGACTCCTGCCAGACACATACAGGAACAGCAACACTCGTAAATCAGCAACACTCGTACAGGAACTGCAATATTTTAGCAAGTTGGGCATATAATATACATTGGCATGGATAACCTTACCTGGCAGAATTTCAACGCGGTCGCTGGCGTGGAAGAGTTCGACCACGCTGTCAAAGTGCTCGGCGCACTCCTCGTCCCTCGCCTCCGTGTTCCGCGGCCATGTTCGGGGCATCCACAGCTTTGACCCGTTGAGCCGCTCAAGGTCGCCGAGCCGCAGCTGCACGTTGTAGATGAGCTCGGTCGCGTAGGAGCGACAGGTGAGCGTGCAGGAAGCTTTGTCGCCGCGGGCAGTGGTGTAGTTTGGCAGCGGCTCCTCGTGAAGCTCGAATTGATGCACTCGCTCCATTCCGTCTGCATCGACGCCCTGCACGATCACATCTCGGTTGCTGGCGTGGCGCTCCAGAAACTTGGACAGGCGATCGCTGTTCGTGCCGAAGTTAGGCCCGCAGTTGACGTAGCGCGAACGAATGAAGACGATCGTTCGCCGTACCTGCGACTGCACGCCCGTCAGGTCGATCTGTAGGAGGGTGTCATGGGATGAAATAAGAACACGAGGAAGTAAGTAATTTTTTTATTGACGGCAGTATGTTTTTTGTTTGAATTGGTTGGAAACCATTGCAACCGCAATGGCTCACCTCGCGCTTCTGGAACAGCAGATTGAGGCTGTTGAGCTCCTCGTGCACGTCGGCGAGGAAGTACAGGAAAAAGTGAAACTTGTACGATGTGACGATGTGGTACATGGGTTTGTCGTAGAGGTGCAGCAGAACGATGACGGCAGGAAGCACCGCCACTAGCCTCAGAATGGCGCCGCCACGACTGAGCCACCGAACAAGGTGAATCCCTTGCATCTCCAGATTTGTCGCCGTGAAGATCTTTTGGAGGTCCTTGAACATCTTGTGCCAGTTGTGTGAACGCCCCAGCAGCTCAGCAACCGCGCGGATGATGGCATCCACAATTCCCAGCTCAGGCAGCGCGTTGGCAGCATCTCTGGCCGCGAGGGCTTCCCTGGATGGACGGGAGTAGAAACACGACGAAACAGTGGTTAGTGCACGGTTTTCTCAACGGGATATGAAGTCTATGCATGAACGAACCGATGCGCTATGCAGTGGACAGAAACCACATGCGGGATCCGCTGTCGAAGGCGCCCAACGACCCCGTTCGTGGCTCCAACCATCACTGCGGCACCGTCGGTGCTGATGCCCGACACCTTTGAGAGACTGATGCCGATGCTATCGAGGTAAGCAACAAGAGAGCCTTCCAGAGAAGCTGCATCACATTTGTCGACAGGAAGAAGCGTTAGAAACTCTGTGACAACAATGCGCTCGCGAAGGAAAGTAGCAAACACAATCATGTGCTTGCCACGAACTCTGTCGGTACTCTCGTCACAGCTCAAGCCAATGAACGGGCTTGACTCCAAGTGCTCCCGTTGACGAGCTCGAAGGTACATGGCTGTCGACTTGGTTAACTCCTGAAAGCCATACCTGCGCAAACCATGCAGGGAGATTAGTACATGCGAGAGATCAACACATGTTAAATAGTAAACGAATAAAACACCCAAGGACTTACGTTGTGAAGTAAGACCCGTAGCCTCGTTTGGGAAAACCAGGAGTACGTCGCTTTGAGAGGTGCCGCACAAGTTGCACCCACATCTCGATGGGCGCGTCGGACTGACAGATGAAAAGCAGAGTCTCCAGCAGTGCAGTAACACGCTCGCTCTGGACGGTATGTGTTTTCGCCAAGTCCTCCATGCGCAGCTGCCCCTCAGCGATCGCAGTGGCGGTGGCTTGTCTCCGCATCGCTCTCTTGTGCTTCCGCGTGCGCTGGTGGTTTTGCATCGCCTGCGTCTGGACGTCGGTCGCACCTTCTCCGCCCTTGCCGTAGTTCGTTCCGTGCCCGCCATGTTCCATGCAAGTCTTACACTTCAAAGCCGGGAATCCTGCACGGGTCTGATTAAGCACAAGCCAAGGAAAGTCAGTACTCCACCGCTTTTTAAATTGCCAGAGAGCCTCCTGGTACTTTCGTTCGGCCACGTCTTCAAGTTCGGTGTCCGATGACGAAGTCGGAGCTGTAGATGGTCCTGAAACAACAGGAGGGACGACGTGCAGAGTCGGAGCGGGAGTGTTTTGCGACCGCCCGAAACTCAGGGTTGCCTGCCGATAGCGTGAGGGCTCGAGCTTCTTCGACGGCGGTCCAATACGGGTCGACCCTTGATTAAAAGAAGTGCGGGGCGTAGTGCTTCGCTGAGGTGGTGTTGCTACAACATGGCGAGATGCCTCCTCTACTACTTCAGCGGTGTGCGTTCGAGGGGGAGGTGCCGATGCGGGAGGATTTCTTCGCAGTAAGTCTAATCCTGTCACGGCACCCGGGTGGGACGCTGTAGAAGGATCGTCGGGAGCCTCCTCCTCGTCGTCAGATCCTGGCGCAAGCATAGTGCCCCCTAACGAGGGGGCGGTTCACAGCAGAGAAACAGACCAGCGAGCACAAGCTCTATCGTCTAGAATGGTTGGATGATTCAAGGCATGAAAGGGAGCTGTGGGGAGGAAGGACCATGAGCGATGGCTGCGCGGGAGTTTGGTCCTCCCCACATGGAGTGGTTGGCCGTCCAACCATCCATGCATGCAATGCTGCGTCAGCGAGTGGACCGCAGCACCCCAACACCTTCCGAGGCCTGGCTGTGGTGCGCTGCGCTGGCTGTATACTTAGCCGCTATTGGCCAGAATTACAGGATTTGCAGTGCACGCGGCAAACTGGTCATTTCGCGGCAACAATCTACAGGCAAAATGTGCGCTGGCACGAAAATTATGGAACTATGGGCAGAAAACAGGGGGTACACCCGTAGCGCCCCCCCTGAAGCCAGATTCGAGGTATCAGGGTTATCCTCGAATTCATACTGAGCAGTCAGGGCTGGTACACGAACACTATACTGAGTTCTCAGGGTTGTCATATGATAACCATACTGAATTTACAGGGTCAGAAATTCATTTAATCGGATTTTTCAGGTCTGGCACCTCATACTCATCCTGAAAATCAGGAATTCAGGATAAAACATCCTGATATCTGAGGCCCTGGACCACAACCAGGTATGTGGTTCCTCATGCATGGTATTGAAAGGACCTTGTTTGTGAAACGTTCCATGTTACGGGTCTCATTCGTTTGCCAGTACATGCAAGGGAGCCATACCATAAATGCTGGTGCAATGCAATAATAATGGCAAAATATATTGTATACAGCCACCATCTGTCATTGTAAACCGACGTTACATGACTTGAATCTGCTCTTTCCTATCTCTCTCTCCGCCCCCTCCTCGTTCCCCAGGCAAAGGGAACCGTCTGCTCCTTACAATCTCCACATAGAGCAGCTCATTCCACGCGTCAGGCACCCCCGGCAGGCACCAGTGCACGCAGTCTTGCTGCCCTGGCGTCTTGCCATCCTTGTCGTACCACCGCGACAGGTGCGCCTCTGGCCGCAGAGCAGACAGCGCAGTGACGTTGAGCAGGCGGACTGAAGTGCCATCCACTGCTGCCTCGGCATTGAGGTCCCGCGATTGGAAGAAGTACCGGTCTGCTTGCTCTTGGGTCAACATGCTCTGGGGGGTGGGGGGGGGAGGGGTTGGTATAAGTGCGAAGGAAGAAAAGAACGTGAGGGGGGGAAAGGCACCACTGCACGCAGTCCTGCTGCCCCTGCGTCTTGCCGTCCTTGTCGTCCCACTGCGAGAGGTGTGCCTCTGGCCGCAGGGCTGACAGCGTAGCGATGTTGAGCAGGCGAACTGAAGTGCCCTCCACTGCTGCCTCGGCATTCAGTTCGCGGTTGAAGGAAGTACCGGTCTGCTTGCTCCCGGCTCAACATGCTCTGGGGGGTTAAAGGTTTCGGGTGTGGGGTTGGGGGTAGGGGGTTGGGGGGTGGCAGACAGGGCTGCGATGTTGATCAGCTCCTCTCAAGTGCCGTCCACTGCTGCCTCGGCATGAGGTGGTGCGATGGAAGAAGCACCGGTTTGCGTGCTCCTGGGTCAACATGCTCTGAGAGGGGGGGAGGGGGGTGGGGGGAAGGGGGCGGTATAAGAGGGAAGCATGCGAGGGGGAGTGACGACACCAATGAGCGCAGCCAACATCCTCTGGGGAAAGCACGGGGTGGGAGAGGGGATGAGAAGGGCTTCGTGGGGGGGAAGGAATCATGAGGGGAGAGGGGGGGAGGGGAAGGCAGGCATGAGGCATAAATGCGCTTACCCGCAACTCCCAGCTTGTCAATCCTTGCAGCGGCGGTTCATCTGAACAGCCCTCAACCCTCACGTGTAGCTTCTCGCACCCGTTCCTGTGCTCCACTGCCCATCCATCCATAAAACGCACCTTCACCAGTTTTCTAGCCCTTAATCCCCTGCTTGGAACCCTGAACCCTAACCCCTCACCTGATGCTTATCGACTCCCCCTCCGGTGACTTTTAAATCGAATAAAAACGCATCTACCACCCTACCCCCTCACCTGTAGTTTATCGCATCCACCTCCTGTGTTCCACTGCCCGTCCATGAAATGCGCGGGCGACCGCGTCACCAGCAGCACTAGCGGCAACGGCCGCTCGCCCCCCCCTACCTGCTGCTGCCCCCCCTCCCTCATCCCCACCAGCCGCCGCCTCTCCCTCTCCTCCCCTATGGCCTGCAGCTGTCGGTGCACCCACATGGCTGTGGACCGCAGCACGGTGCGCATGGGGATGTTGAAGTCTGCTTCCATTTCCTTGTGGGTGTCTGGGGGGACGGGCAGGCCGCCCAGGTGGAAGTGCCACCCGTACTCTTGCATCTTGTTGCTGCGGGGAGGGGTGGGAGAAACACAGAGAAACAGATACATTTTCCTCTTTTTCTCCTCATTTCCACCAGCCGCCGCCTCTCCCTCTCTTCGCCTATGGCCTGCAGCTGTCGGTGCACCCACATAGCTGTGGACCGGAGCAGAATGCGCAATACACAATACTCACATGTTCCACATACACAATACTCACATGTTCCAGTGGTGCCCGGTGTTCATTATAATCACATCCATCTCCTCCAAATACTGCCGCAGGAACTCATCCGGTAGGTCCAGGTGGGCCGCCTGCCCCACTGACTGGTTCGCCCAATCCTTGCGCACCACGTGGCACAGAGACGTGGTCCACTTGAGCAGAACAGTAGTGTTGGTTTCAGGGAAGCGGTAGGCTGAGCCCTGCGGTAGTGCGGTGGGTGGGGGGGGGGGGAGGGGGATGGGGAGTGGGGGACGACAGAGAGAGTGGAGGAAGGAAAGGAAGGTAGAGACATGGCATTTGAAACACAGGGATGGCCGTTCACAGTGGGTGGGTGGGTGGCTCGCACTCCCAGTACCACAAGGCCCAGTGCTAACCATTCCGTTTGCGTGAGCACTTTAAACTGAGCCTTGTGGTACTGGGAGACTGGGGGGTGTATGTGGCGAGTGTGTGGGGGGGGTGTGAGCGCGTGTGTGTGGGATTAAGCGGGCGTGTGTGGGAGTGGGAGGGGTGGTGTGAGGGGATTGTGAGGAGAAGAGTCACCCACCCAGCTCACTTCACCCTCATCTGCCAGCCGCGTTTTGAGACGTCTCAACACGATTTTGAGGAGATGAGTCAACCACCCACCCAGTTCACTTCACCCTCACCTGCCAGCCGCGCCAGCCAGCTGACCAATTGAACTTGTAGTCTCTGCCCCGTGTCTCGATGTGCGGCTCTTGTGTGCTTGCCATGCATACATGCCCATTCACAGTTAGCTGTCACCATACAAACCTGCCATCCAGCTCCCACCTGCCTGCCACCCTCTGACCTGCCAGCTGCGCCAGCCAGTGGTCCAATTGAACTTGTAGTCCTTGTCCTGTGACTCTTGCACCCAAGAGCCAGTGTCCTGACTCCATGTACGGCTCTTGGGTGTTTCGGTGCGGGGTGAAGGCAGGATGAGACGCCCACCCAGTGCTGCCGTACCTGGTACTCGCTTTGCCACCCACCTGCCAGCCGCGCCAGCCAGTGGTCCAGTTGAACTTGTAGTCCTTATCTCGTGACTCGATGTACGGCTCTTGCGTGCGCGGCGTGGGCGAGATGAGGCAGAGGAAGGAGAAGAACTGCTGCAGGCCCACTGAGTCGCCCACAAACGCCACCTTCTTGTTGCGCAGGCTGGGAGCAGAGAGGGATGGGGTGTGAGTGAGGGGAGGGGAGGGGAGGGGAGGGGATGGGAGGGGAGGGGAGGGGAGGGGAGGGGAGAGGAGGGGAGGGGAGGGGAGCGGAGGGGAGGAGAGGGGAGGGGAGGGGAGGGGAGGGGAGGAGAGGGGAGGGGAGGAGGTGAGTGAGAGAGGAGGAGAGCAGACAGAATCGCCCACAAAGGCCACCTCATTGTTGCGGAGAATGGGAGGATGGGAGGATGGGAGGATGGGAGGATGGGAGGATGGGACGGATTAAGGTGATGTTGGGACCATGGCTTCACATAGGTTCTTTAGCCAGTAGTCAGATCCGGGTTCCCTAAGAAAGCCACCCGTTAGAGTCAGCGGAGCGCTGACATGGGAGCGCGCGGATGGAAGTGGCCGTGGCATTGCATCAGGGAGAGAGGGGGGGGAGCGACAAACAGCTGTGGATTGAGTAGCTGCAAGGGATGCGTGGGATTGGCACAGGACGGAGGGGAGGGTGGTGGGGCGGCTGGCGGGGGTACTAGTCTATACGGAGCAGGAGCTGGCGTGGACCCACGAGGTGGATGACATGCATGGTGTCATCCTTGCCGCGCGCGAGAGGCTGAGGTGACTGCTCCAAAACGCGGAGGGGCGGAGGGCGACCATGGCTAGGGTACGGAGGTGGATGGATGAGTTTTGAGTCGACTCAAAGCACACCTGGATGAGGGGACGAGGCCTGCAAGGACTTTTGAGGCGCCTCAAAAGGGGACGAGGCCTGCAAGGACTTTTGAGGCGCCTCAAAAGGGGACGAGGCTTGCAAGGACGACGGACGGAGCCCGAGTGCCTGGTGGCGCCAGGACGGTATCACTGGGCGCAAGCAATGATCATCATGCGCCTGACGTTCCAGCGCCGCTTTGCACCTCCCCACGGCATGATTGGCATGCTCCGCTGTTTGCACCCCCTCCCCCCCCCCATGCAAAACGCGGTCACTTCCGTCTGCACATTCCCATGTGGGCGATCCGTTTTCGGCCAAAGTCTTACTCGCCACCGCCCCTTTTTCGACCAAATTCCGCCAGTTACATCCCGTATTCTAGCCAAAATCGGCCCGTAAACCAATTGGTTCGAAGATTACCGAATCCGTCAAAAGGGGAGTTCCGGTTCAAAACTACCCCTTAAAGTATAAAGATCCAGGTAAGTACCTGTCAAACATAGGCCCTGGTTGGGACACACACTGGAGAGAGCAGGGATGGCAACATGTGCTGCTCAAAAGACCATTCCCTCCCACACTGTGTGCGTACCGTTCCTTGAACTCCGTGCGGTTGAACCTGGGCACTCTGCACCCCTTGGGCTGCCAGCGGTACTGCTCGTAGAGGAAGGAGGGGCGCTCCTTGCGGCGGCAGGTCCAGTGCGGCAGAGGGAACTGGCAGGTGGCGCCCGAATACAGCGGGTGGCGCTGGGAATCCCTCACCCAGTGGCCCGAGTACAGGTCACACGAGGGTGACAGGGGCGGCAGCGGTTGTCTTCTCCCTCGCCTTCTCTTTCCGTGCTTGCTTGATGTATTGTTGGATGGCATGCTTAAAGTCAAGCTATCCCCTGCCAAAGTACCATCAGCTTCTTTCTCCTCCTCCTCGCCTCCTCTTCTTGCTGAACTGATGCCTGCTTGTTGCTGCTCCCCTTCACCCGTCTCCTCTTGCTGCCGCCGCTCTTGATCTATTTGCTGCACTTTGGGACTATCTTCATCATCTTTGGATGTACCGGCATGGTTACCACTTGCAGCATCATCATCAGCAGCAGCAGCAGCAGCAGTCGCAGCAGCATCAGGATCAGTAATCCTGCCACCAACAGTTGCACCAGCAGCACCAGCTTCACCAGCACCATCAATCAGCCGGGCTCTGTCTGCCCTCTCCTCTGTGTCTGTTTCATCCCCCGGCTCCTCCTCCTGCTGCTGCTGCTCCATCCCCTCCATAAGCTTCCTCGCTTCCTCCACTGTGACAGGGGATGGAAGCCAGGGCCGATGGTGGAAGGTGGGGGGGGGGGGGAGAGGGGAAAAGACAGATGAATGATGGTTCAACATTTGGGACTTCTTTCAAACGGAAAACGAGTTGAACTGGACTGACATTGGGGCAGGCTGGTTTGCACGGTTAACATGGCATGGCACATGGCAAAGATAACTCACACTGCAGAAAAAATCAGAAAGAAGAAGCAGAAAAAAACAAGGAAGATGCATGACACGAGGGAATGTTGAAACACAAGCTGAGAACAAAAGGCCGGCCACGTACAGAGGTATTTGTCCACGTCTAGAGGAGGTTCGTCATCGTTAGAATTGCCATCTGACGCATTCTCGTTAGAAGCGTCCTCGCTACCAGCACCATCACCGTTGTCCCGAGCAGCAGCGCCGTCAGCATCACCCTCGGAAGAAGCACCAGAACCACCTCCGCTACTTCTGCTGTCACTTCCCCTTATGGTACCAACTGTCATCTGTGCTTCTCCGCGATCAGTGCGATCAGTGCGATCCGTACGATCAGTGCTCAATTGACCGTTTCCGTCAGTTAAACCCCTCGCTGATTCGACGGCTGCAGGAAAAGCAGCCTCTTTCCGTATCCTCGCTTCATGCCTACTCGCTATTCGTCTGCCTGCGAACACCGCGATCGACAGCGCTGTTACCATAACGAGTACCACTGAAAAGGCTGAACGGAATGACAAGCCCGTTCTCCCACCCTTTTCCCTCCCTGACTGTGCCAACGAGCCTTGACTCCCTCCGCCTCCACCGTCCCCTCTCGCGTCTGCCGAGCCTGCGCCGCTGGCTCGGCCATGCCTGGACAAGGCGGGTTGAGGCTTGGAGGCCTTGACGACGGAGGCTTGGGAGGATTCGGAGGTTCGAGACTCCTTTCTCCGGGTCTGCATGGAAGCATGCGGTGCCGGCTAGTCTGCGCGATTAGGTCTGGGACGCAGTAAAGCGTTTTCGGTGTTCGGCTAGCAGCAAGCAACTTGACAAACGTATGATTGAGGGTGCTGACGTGACGGTGTTCGGCATAAAGCTAAGAACTGCAAATTGAACAGGTGGCAGACGGTTGAAGTTGAAACAAAGAGGGAAAAGATGATGCCGAGAAAAAGGTTTCCGTTGCCGGGACTTGAACCCGGGTCTTTCGGGTGAGAGCCGAATATCCTAACCGACTAGACTACAACGGATGTGTTCAATCGAAAATAAGTTTTATTGGATTTAAAAAAATTTCATCACCATCTCACGACCCTCCTGATTGGTTATTTGGAAAAAGCGGCGCAGCACACGTTGGAATTGCCGTTCCTTGGGATTGACGTGTGTGGCGGTGGCCATTTCGTCAAGCCTCGATACTTGTGCACTAGGCTTCAGTTCAGCGTATGAAGGCTGAGGCCTTGAGAGTCGCGTAAGGCTCTTCACTAGATTACCGCCGTTAGAGGACTATCAGCTATTATTACCGCCGGTACGCGCCTACCGAAACCCGTTCAAAACTGCGCAGAGACTGTAGCCGCCGTCTCGTCTCTCCCAAGCGCTCGTTTATATTCGCCGCTGTGTAGAACGCGCCGGCAATGGCGGCTTCCTTTACGCGGACCGCTTTGTTAGAGACGTCTCTACAATCCGCAGCTGTGCCTTCCGCATTCCCCGGCCACATTGGCCAGAATCGTTTCGGAGGAAAGCCTAGATCATGCGCTCTGTCGACCTCCTGGTTCGGTCGGAAACTACGAGCTCCTACTGGTGGATCCGATTCCGTGAGACGAAGGTGTTCTTTGACTGGCGGAGCTGTGAGCGTGCGAGCCGTGGCGACGACGGGGCGATCGGTCGCTGATCGCATTGGGTCGAACGAAATGCCGAGTAAGCCGCGCAGCGCTGAGCGTGGCGCAGTGCGGTATGGTGTGGTATGTCGTGGTCTGATGTGGTGTGTCACGGACTATCGGTGGCTGATCGCATTGGGTCCTACGAATTTCCCAGTGAGCGATGCACTCGAATGCAATGCGTGGTACGCGCTGTGTGGTTTGGCCTGGTGTGATGTATCGTGAGATGTCTTTAACGGGGAAAATGCCTGATCAGTGGGTGGGTGGGTGCCCTTGCGTCCCTTTTCCACCTCCCTTGCTTCCCCCGTCCGATCCCTTCTTGTTGCGCCAGGCGAAGAGGAGTTCCTTCGCGCGGTCTCAGCTGAGAGGAGTCTATTTTTGAGGCGCCTAAAAAATAGACTCCTCAACTTCCTCCCTTAAAGCCCTTGTCCACCTCCATTTCCTCCCCCGTGCGATCCCTTCTTGCTGCGCCAGGCGAGGAAGAGTTCCTTGGCGCGGTATCAGCGGGCAGCAACGTGGTCCCCATTTCCCGCCGCATCTTCAGCGACCACCTGACGCCCGTCCTCGCTTACCGCTGCCTCGTTAAGGAGGACGACCGCGACGCGCCCAGCTTCCTCTTCGAGTCCGTCGAGACCGCTAATGACGGCCGAGCACGATCCGTGAGTGGAGCTCCATGCTGTGGCAATATATCCAGGTGCGTTTTGAGTCGGCTCAAGACGACCGCGACGCGCCCAGCTTCCTCTTCGAGTCCGTCGAGACCGCCAACGACGGCCGCGCGCGATCCGTGAGTGGGTGGGGTATCCCAGATGTCAGATGACTTTTGAGTCGACTGAAAGGTCACAACGGCCGCGCGCGATCCGTGAGTGGGGTGTCGAACACAGATGACTTTTTAGTGCGTCGACTCAAAAGTCACGACCGCTAATGACGGCTGCGCGCGATCCGTGAGTGGCGCTTCACGGAGTGAACTGTGAAACACGTGCGAGATCCGTGAGTGAGTGGTGCTTTACATACAAGAAAGGTGACTCTTCCGTTCCGTGAGTGATTCTATACGCACAAGAAGGAAGGGTGATACATCCGTGAGTGAGTGAGTGGCGTTTTACAGGGTAGATCTCTAACAGACGTTGTAGGCTGACTGATTAAAGAAGCAGGTGGGCATGCAGGGGAGCAGGTGCGGATTTCTTGGTAAAACCCCAAACCCTGCTCAAGCCAACGTGACAGACAGCCCTTCGAGTTTAAATCAAACGTCATATTTCTTGTGGCAATAACCATCTTTCTTGGATCATGTTACAGGCATTCGTTTCTCCCTGACAGTTACTCTCCACGCCACTCCCATCCCACATGCCACCTCCCTTATCCTCCTGCTTCGCTTCTCCCACCTCCCCTCCGCCCCCCACCCACCCCTCCAAACCAACTTCATCAGAGTCGCTTCTCGTACGTGGGGGCGCAGCCAGCATTGGAGGTGGTTGCTAAGGGGCTGGGGTAGCATCGATTCTGCTGTGCCTCTCCATCCTCCACTACTTGCCTTTCCTCTCCTCCCTTCCCCTCTCCTCTCCTCCCTTCCCCTCTCCTCTCCTCCCTTCCCCTCTCCTCTCCTCCCTTCCCCTCTCCTCTCCTCCCTTCCCCTCTCCTCTCCTCCCTTCCCCTCTCCTCTCCTCCCTTCCCCTCTCCTCTCCTCCCTTCCCCTCTCCTCTCCTCCCTTCCCCTCCCCTCTACTTCAGGGTCGCTTCTCCTACGTGGGCGCGCAGCCAGCACTGGAAGTGGTGGCGAGGGGCGTGGGCCCAGTGTCGGTGGTGAATCACGGCAAGGGGGCGCGGGAGACCATAGAGGGAAAGGACCCGCTGCAGGTGAGGAATGTAGGCGGGGTGGGGAAGGGCATGGCAAGGACTCGGTTGGTAGCCAGGACCCCAGGGGGTGGGCCCAGCCGCCCAGCCAGGGTCAGTGGTGAATCGAGGCAAGGGGGCGCGGGGGAGACCATTGAGGGAAAGGACCCGCTGCAGGTGAGGATTAGAGTGGGGCGTACATGTGCGTGAGCAGCCAGGGCATGCCAGGGGTTCAGGGGAAGGGCATGGCAACGACTTCCCAGGCGAGGAGGAGTCGATTGTAGGTGAGCCTTCAGAGTCCCGCTGCAGGTGAGGAATGTAGGTATGGCAATGCGTGCGTGTCAAGGGCTTGGGGTGGAGGTGGGAAGGAATTGGGCCAGTGCCAATGGTGAATAACACGGCAAGGAGGGGGCGAGGGAGATGGATTGCAGATACAGTACAGGGATGGCATCATGGCATCATGGCAGCACCCGCATGCCGTACTGCAGCTAGGAAGCTCGAGGGGGGGTGGGGCCAGGCCAGCGCATTTACCCGCCAGCCAGCGGCAAACACTGCATTGCATCACTTTCTTCCCAATTCTCCCCACCCGTTCCCACCCGTCCCTTTCGACCTGTTCCCACCCCTGACCCCCATGACCAGGTGGTGCAGGACATTTCAGCCAACTGGAAGCCAGCTGCCAGTGAAGCCCTGCCCCAGTCGTTCTGCGGTCAGTGCTGCAGTGTGCCTCCACCCGTCTTCCCTTAGTGCACTTACTGCTTCCAGCACCACCTCAGTCTGTAGGCTCTGGATTCTGGCCCCTGCACTGCACTGCGTGTGTGCACGCCCTGTGTGTCTTGGTGTGTATGTAGTTGCTTTCTTTCGCGCCCCACCTGTCAGCCAAACCTCCCGCCCCACACCTAAGAGCCTATGCACTGTATGGCTCAGGGGATTAGACGGAGCGACGCCCCCTGAGGGGCGAACGGGAGCGTCGCCGCGTCGCCGGAGCGTCGCCCGACGGCCGAAGCTGCCCGCGGGCAGAAACAATAAACCCCCGGGCCCCCGAAGCCAATCGGGGGAGACGTCGACCCCGAACTCCCCCCGTTGGCTTGGGGGCCCCCAGGGGTTTTTGTTGCTGCCCGCGGGCAGCCGTCGGTCCGTCGGATTTTGGTGACGGTGCGGCTGATCGCGTGAGATGTATCGCTCTTCACTGTTCCGCCTCCACGCGGCTGGGTGGCGCACGCGTACACCTCTCATACGGCTTGGTGCGCTATGCGGAATCTAGGAAGCAGGGTGGCTGGCTGGACGGCAAGCTGGCATGCCAGAAAGCATCTCCTCCCCTCCTCCCCCTCCTCCCCCTCTCCCCTCTCCCCTCTCCGTCTCTTGTCTCCCTGCCCGCCGAACTCCTCTTTCCGTAATCTACCCTATATCCAGGTGGCTGGGTGGGGTACACGTCCTACGACTCAGTGCGTTACGTGGAGTCCAGGAAGCTTCCTTTCTCCTCTGCACCAATGGATGACCGCCACCTGCCAGACGTGCACCTGAGCTTGTACAATGACGTGGTGGTGTTCGACCATGTCACCAAGGTGCGTCCTGGTGCCTATAAATGCAGTGATACAACTCAATGCAACACTGCGCAATGGTCCCCCGCCACCTGCCAAACGTGACGACAACCCCTCTGCCTCTGACGCCATCTGGTCTTGTTCTACGCCCGTGCACCCCTCTCCTCTTTCTTCAAAATACATGTGAAAGGCCGTTCCTCTGCGCATCCCCCCGTTCAACTCTGCAGATTGTGCATGTGGTGTGCTGGGTGCACGTGGACGACTACCCCTCTGCTTCTGACGCCTTCTGGTCGGGCCTCTCTCGCCTCACCACTCTCGTCGACAGCCTCCAGCCCGCCTCAGCGTGAGTCTGATGTGCATGCTTCCATCACACTCACATATGTGTATAACTTTTCGCTGGTCCAGATTCTCTCGCCTCACCACTCTCGCTGACCGCCTCCAGCCCGCCTCAGGGTGAGTATCGCATAAACGTGCCCATCCGACACACATATGCGTGTCCTCCTGTGCATGGTCCCACACACACACGTTACATTCGCGTTGATAAGCCTTGGGCCACACATCCCTCCTCTCCATCCCTTCTCTCTCATCCCAGGCCAGTGCTGCCAGCCGGTTCAGTGAATCTGGACACGAGGCAGCAGGGCCCGCCGGCGCAGTAAACGATATTATGGAGCAGTGCGAGGCAGCTGTGCGAGGCAGCAGAGCTGCCACATCCCTCCCCTCTTCCTTCCCCGCTCTCTCCCATCCCATCCCAGCCCCGTACTGCCAGCAGGTTCAGTGAATCTGGACACGAGGCAGCAGGGCCCGCCGGCGCAGTCAACAATGACCAAGGAGCAGTTTGAGGAGGCGGTGCTGGCGTCCAAGGGACACATCCTCGCGGGGGACATCTTCCAGATCGTGCTCAGCCAGCGCTTCGAACGGAGGACATTTGCGGATCCGTTCGAGGTGTATCGGGCGCTCAGGATCGTCAACCCCAGCCCCTACCTAGCCTACCTGCAGGTGTGCTCTCGGATAATAATAATAATAATAAAAAAAAAATAAAAAAAAAATAAACAAAATTAAAAAAAAGTGAGCGAAATCCGGGTTTTCGGGTTGCGGGTTTGTTTGGGCTAGAGGTTGAGGAAGCAGTGCTTGCTGGCATCCAAGGGGCACATCCTCGCGGGGGACATCGTCCAGATTGTGCTCAGCCAGCGCTTCAAATGGAGGACGTTTGCTGATCCGTTTGAGGAGGTCTACTGCGCGCTCAGGATCGTCAACCCCAGCCCTTATTTAGCCTATCTGCAGGTGCGCTTCCAAAAAAAACAGGACTGAAATTCTGGTTTTTGAGCTCCTGGTTTGGGCTAGAGTACAAAGCATCAGCGCTGGCGTAAGGGCCTCCTCCTCGCAGGGGACAACTTCCAGATCAGATCGGCCTCTACCAGCTCTTTGAGGGGAGCACATTTGCTGGCCCGTTTGAGGTGTACGGGGCGCTCTCAGGATCGTCAACCCCAGCCTGTGCATTGCCTACCTGCAGTGCTTTTGAGTCGACTCAAAAGAAAGTGTACAGGGCGCTCTCAGGATCGTCAACCCCAGCCTGTACATCACCTATCTGCAGGTGCACCCTGTTTTGAGGCAGCTTGTGTTGTACTTTTTTGCCTATCCCTATGCCTGGAGCACCCAGTTTTCGTTGGGATGGCAAAGGCACAGATAGAGTGTGGGTGCGCGACTTTACATTTCTCACTAGACTGCTAGCTGGCAGCAGTTTTGGTTGTGGAACGGTTACCTGTGATAAAGGTCTGTAGAACGATTGGGGTCCAAAGATGTGAAGGTGTGTGGTCAGGTCACCATTTTCCAAATAGCATCTGCCTCTTACCTTCCTCCCCTCTCCACCACTTCCTCAATGAAACCAAGCAATGCTCTCCGCCTTTTCCTCCCCTCCCCTCACCGCCCCCTGTGTTTACCCCTGACAGGCTCGTGGCTCCATCCTTGTGGCATCAAGTCCGGAGATCTTGTGCCGAATTTCAGGCTCGGTAAGTTGATTCTTGCAAACCTCAGGCTCGGGAAGTTGTTTTTTGCAAACCTCAGGTTCGGTAAGGTTATTCTTCTGAACCTCAGGCTCGCATGTTCCCTCCATCCTTTTATGTGCGCTGCGCACCCTCCTCCACTCGCGATCCCTACGCCCCTCGTGAAGTGTCGTGCATCGCCCTCGGACGCATGAGAGGGGGCAGACAGCAAGGGACGGCTCAGCACTCTACATGCTAACCTTTCACCTATCCCACTTACCTCTCATCTTCTTCTCCGAACCGACTCCCCTTACCCCCTCTCCCCTCCCACCCCAACCCCGCCCCTTTCTCGCCCCCACCCCCCGCTCCCAGTATAGGCCGTGGTGAACTGGCATCTAGCAGGTTCAAGGCAACGCGGCCTAACAGCGGAGGCGGGCACAGCACTGGAGGCAGACCTGCTGGCGGATGAGAGGGAGAATCCATCTGCTCGCCTGTGCTCCACTTCCTCCCTATTCCCTCCGTTTCTATCTATTTTCATCTCCTCTTACGGACCATAGTGAACCGCCCTCTAGCGGGGACACACAAGATGGGCCAGACAGCAGAGGAGGACACAGCGCTGGAGGCAGACCTCCTGGCGGATGGGAGGGAGAATCTACCTGCTCACGTGCCCCACGTCATACTCATGTCCCCGCTCCCCTCCTTTGTCTATCTTATCTTCGTCTCCTTCACAGACCGTGGTGAACCGCCCTCTAGCGGGTACAAGGAAGCGCGGCCAGACAGCGGAGGAGGACTCAGCGCTGGAGGCAAACCTTCTGGCGGATGAGAAGGAGGTGGCGGAGCATGTCATGCTGGTGGACCTGGGGAGGAATGACGTGGGGAAGGTGAGATGTGAGGGAGGTAGCACATGGAAAAACCTGAGGGAGGTAGGGCATGAGCTGACTCGATTTTTCGAATTCTCAAGAAACGCCTACAACTAGAAGAAGGGCATGTGTGCTGCCGGCGGGTTTGCGGAGGAGAGGAGCTGCGTGGGAAGGGCGGGATGTGGGATGTGTGATGTGGGATGTGGGATGAGGCATGATGTGCGAGGTTGCGTGTGAGGGAGGTTGGTTTGTGAGGATGTGTGACATGGCATTCCTTCCTTGGATTTCGCTCCATCCATTCTTTCCATTCCATTCTGCTCATGGCATCTTGGAAGTGATTGCTACCATACCATACCATGCCATACCATGCCATACCATGCCATGCCTTGCCATGCCATGCCATGCCATACCATGCCTTGCCATGCCATGCCATGCCATACCATGCCATGCCATGCCATGCCATACCATACCATGCCATGCCTTGCCATGCCATGCCTTGCCATGCCATGCCATACCATGCCATGCCATGCCATACCATACCATGCCATGCCTTGCCATGCCATGCCTTGCCATGCCATGCCATGCCATACCATGCCATGCCATGCCATACCATACCATACCATACCATACCATACCATGCCATGCCATGCCATGCCGTGCCATGCCATGCCATGCCATGCCATGACTTCCCATCCCATGCCATGCCATGCCATGCCATCCCATCCCATCCCATGCCATGCCAAGCAGGTGTCAATGGCAAGGTCAGTGAACGTCGGGAAGCTGATGGAGGTGCAGTGGGGTGCCGGCCTATCCTGTCTCATGATTTGTCACCGCATTGCACCGTGTCCCATCCCTTACCATCCCACCCCATCCCATGCAGGTGTCAGTGGCGGGGTCAGTGAACGTGGAAAAGCTGATGGAGGTGGAGCGATACTCACATGTCATGCACATCAGCAGCACGGTATGGCATGCACATCAGCAGCATGGTATGGCATGCACATCAGCAGCACGGTATGGCATGCACATCAGCAGCACGGTATGGCATGTACATCAGCAGCACGGTATGACATGCACATCAGCAGCACGGTATGGCATGCACATCGGCAGCACGGTATGGCATGCACATCGGCAGCACGGTATGGCATGCACGTCAGCAGCTCGGTACGGGCAGCATCTGTTCCTGCACAGCATAGTAGCAATGTAGGCAACGTCAGGCGGGGCGACGCGACACTCGCATGTCATGCACAACACCATCACGGTATGTCTCTGGTATAGTTCTCTTGCAGAGTATGCTGATGCAGGAGAAGCGATGCTCTCTAGTCATGCATACTAGCCCCTGCTCTCTTTTGCTGCCCCACCTCGCTTCTCTCAATCCACCCTTCCTCCTTCCCCCTTCCCCCTTCCTCCTTTCCCCTTCCTCCTTCCCCCTTCCCCCTTCCCCCTTCCTCCTTTCCCCTTCCTCCTTCCCCCTTCCTCCTTCCCCCTACCCCCTTCTCCCTTCCCCCTTCCCCCTTCCTCCTTTCCCCTTCCCCCTTCCCCCTTCCCCCTTCCTCCTTCCCCCTCCCCCCTTCAACCTTCCTCCTTTCCCCTTCCCCCTTCCCGCTTCCCCTTTCCCCCTTCAACCTTCCTCCTTCCTCCTTCCTCCTTCCTCCTTCCTCCTTCCTCCTTCCTCCCTCCTCCTTCCTCCTTCCTCCCTCCTTCCTCCTTCCTCCTTCCTGCTTCCTCCTTCCTCCTTCCTCCTTCCTCGTTCTCCCTTCCTCCTTTCCCCTTCCCCCTTCCCGCTTCCCCCTTCCCCCTTCAACCTTCCTCCTTCCTCCTTCCTCCTTCCTCCTTCCTCCTTCCTCCTGTGAGAATCTGAAGTGATGATTGTATTAGGAAAGGAGTGGGTATACATAGGTGAGGAGTAGGAGGGAGGGGGGGGGTTTTGGTTGGGAGGTGACCACGATTATTGGTGACCCCAATAAGTTGAGTTGGCCAACTTATTGGGGGTCCAATAATCCTAGCCAAGATTATTGGTGGGTCCAATAATCTTGGTTGGGATTATTGGGGGTTCCAATAATTGGGAGCCCAACCAATTTGGGAACCCAACAAGGTTGGGAACCCAACCCCCAACTTGGGTGTATACACCCTAGTGGGGTGCTTATAAGTTCCTAAGACAATGAAACGATGTAGGCTAATAGAATGAAGGGAGAATAGTCTAACACAACCCCTTAGCCTACAGAGTGCCATAAGTCTTGGGAAGGGGAGGAGAAGCAACCCCTGAATCAGGTAGTCCCCTGTGAGGGAGGGGCAAGACCCAGAAGGCGAAGGAGAGCCGCATGGGGACGACGAGGGAGGGCCTTGGTGAAGATGTCGGCAAGGTTGGCTGAAGAGTCAATCTTGCGCACGGTGAGGTGTCCAGCCTGGACGAGCTCACGAACGAAGTAGTGTCGGAGCTCGATGTGTTTGGAGCGACCATGGAAAACGGCTTCCTTTGTGAGGTGGATAGTACTGGCATTGTCGCACCAGATGGTGGGACAGGGCTGGGGAGCATCCAGCTCAGCGAGGAGGAAGCTGAGCCACCGCGCCTCCTGGGCCGCCATGGTGATGGCGTAGAGCTCTGCTTCGCAGGGGGATAGAGCGATCGAGGAGGAGCGGGTGGAGCGCCAGGAAATGAGGCCGCTCCCGAGGGAGAAACCATACCCCTGTGAGCTGCGACGATCGGGCTGAGAATCTGCCCAAGAGGAGTCGCTGTAGCCAGTGAGCTGAGGAGGGGTGGGGCCGCCCAAGGTGAGGACATAGTCCTTGGTGCCTTTGATGTAGCGGAGAACGCGCTTGGCCGCTTGCCAGTGCTCGGGAGTGTGTTTGCCAGCGCCGACAAAGCGCGCCAGGACACTGATAGGGTAGGCGAGGTCGGGGCGAGTGCACATCATGGCGTACATCAGGGACCCGACCAGCGCAACGTAAGGACTGGTGGAGGAACCGTGGGTGGTTGTCAGCGAGAGCTGGTGGCCGACTTGGAGGGATGTGGAGACGGGTTTGGCCGTGGCCATCTCGAAGCGTTCAAGGACCTTCTCGAGGTAGAATGCCTGAGAGAGGGAGATGGTCCTGGCCGTACGATCGCGAGAAATCTCCATCCCGAGGTAGTTGCGGACCTCCCCCAGGTCCTTGCAGAGGAGGCGCTTCTGCAGCTCATCCTTGACCTGTTGTAGGTCTGCTTCGTTGTCAGCGGCAAGAAGCATGTCGTCGACGTAGACGAGGATGTAGAAGGGGGAGGGGGAGGTGCGCAGGAAGAGGCAGGAGGAAGCCTGGGAAGGGCGAAAACCAAGAGCACGGAGAGTGCTCGAGAGCTTGGCATGCCATTCCCGAGGAGCTTGCTTGAGGCCGTAGACCGGGCGGCGAAGTTCCCAAACGGTGTTGGGAGGGGAAGGGAGGTGCCAGCCCTCGGGACGCTCCATGAAGATGCGCTCATGGAGTTCACCTTGGAGAAATGCCGTGGTGACATCCATCGAGTGCAGGATCATGCCGCGCCGGCCAACGAAGTCCAAGAACACGCGGACGATAGGGGGAGTGGCGGTCGGCGAGTACGTGTCAAGGAAGTCATGGCCGTACCGCTGCGTAAATCCTTTAGCGCAGTAGCGGGCCTTATAGACCGGGTCGTCGCCAGGGAGGAGCTTGACCCGAAATACCCATTTGCCTTTGACCACGTTGTGGTTGAGAGGGCGGGGTACGTCGATGAAGGTGCCGTTGCGGACAAAGGCCTCGTTCTCTTTGAGGACTGCCTTGCCCCAATGAGGGTGGTCGGGGCATGTCATAGCTTCGTGATAATCTCCCGGCTCGAAGATGATGGGCGCACCGGAGAAGACCAGTACCGGAGCGCCGGTCATGCTGAAGGCGACTGCTTGGGTGTTGGAGAAGAGGTGGAGGCGAAGAAATTCACCATGGGAGTCTTCGATGAGGAGGGGAGAGAAAGGAGGAGGAAGGGAGGGTGGTGTTGCAAGTCTGCTGCGCTGCTGAGGGGGGAGGCTGCGACACTGTGACTCTGCGACTCGGCTGCACGGCTGCTTGACCGGGGCAACTGCTGCGGCGGATCCTGACGCTGCGGGTGCGGCGACCGGGGCAGGCACTGGTGCGGCGGCGGGAGCTGCTGCGGCGGGTGCGGAGGTGGAAGCAGAGGGTGCTGGAGCGGGTGCCTTTGCCTGAGGGGAGGGAGGGGCTAAGGGCGGACCAAAGAGGGGATCCATGGACCGAGAATGAGGGCGGTGGCGAAGGACAAGGGGAGAAGACACCTGGGGGGGTGGAGGAGGAGGTGGGGGAGGTAGGGGAGGAGGGGGGGAAGGAGGTGGAGGGGGGGGAGGTGGGGAGAAGGGGGAGGATGGAGCGGAAGCGGAGTGAGAGGGAGAGGGGGGGAGTACTGGGTCAAGGATGTCACCTGAGGAAGATGAGGAGGGAGCAGATTCGGGAGGAGGAGGTGCTGGGGGTGGGGGAATAAGAGGGAGAGGGGGGAGGAGGGGGGGGGTGACAGTGTCAGAGGGGATGAAGGGGCGAGGAGGAATGGTGAGTGGGTCAGGTGAGGCAGGAGAGGTGTAGTACGGGGAGGATTCGTCAAAGTTGACGTCCCGACTACGAATGAGGCGACGTGAGGGGGGATGAAGGAAGAGGTAATCAGGGGAGGAGGTGTTGTGACCAAGGAATACACAGGGTAGACTCTTGGAGGCGAGCTTCCCTGCTGTGCGTGAGCGGTCGGCTGGGTGTATGAGAACATACGCCCTGGAACCCCAGACGCGCAGGGGGGAGACGTCGGGTTTAGTTGACGTCCACAGCTCGGTGGGGGTGGTGGAGGGGAGGAGAGGGTGGGGATACAGGTTAGTGAGGAGGACGGCGTGGAGAAGAGCATAACCCCAGAGAGAAGGCGGGCAGGAGGCGTGAACGAGAAGACACCTGGCGGTCTTTGTAACTTCTCGAACACGAGCTTCTGCCACGCCATTCTGCTGAGGGGAGTGAGGGAGGGTGTAAGTGTGGTGAATACCATGGGTGGAGAAATAGGAAGAGAGATGGTGATTGAGGAATTCACCGCCGCCATCGGAATGGAAGCGGCGAACGGGACGACCGAAGTGGGTGCGCGCCTGCTCGGCCCAGGCGATGATAAAGGCCGATGCTTCGGCCTTCGTGCGAAGGAGGGAGACCGAGGTGTATCGTGAGCGGTCATCGACTAGTACGAGGAGGTAGCGGTGCCCTTGACGGGTGGGGGAGGGGTTGGGGCCCCAGAGATCCATGTGGACAAGATCCAGGAGCTCTGGGGCGCAAGAAGCTGCTTGAGCTTGCTCTGGACACAGATGGTGCAAGATGGGGCGGGGGAGGGAGGGAGTGGGGGGAGAGTGAGGGGAAGGCCATTGAGGAGCCCAGAGGCGACGGCCTTGTGGAGGGTGGCAAAGTTGGGGTGACCTAGGCGGTGGTGGAGGAGGATGGCAGGATGTGTAAGATCACGACAGTGGCACTGAGATGGGGGGGGAGCAGGAGGGGCGGGAGGGGAGGTGGAGGGAGGTTGCGGAGGAAAGAGGGGAGGGGGGGAGGGGAGGGATGGTGGAGGCAGTGTGACAGGCTGACGGACGGGGAGTGTGAAGGGTGTACATGCGAGTGCGAGGACACATGGGAACACGGACGATGAAATGGCCCGTGGATGAGTGAAACAAGTCGCAGTGGGTGGCGTGGCCGGGGTAGATTGTTGTGACCCCGGCCCGTTGAAGTGCACCTTGGGAGACGAGGTTAGTGCGAAGGGAGGGGACATGGAAGCCAGTTACTGAACCTGAGGGGAAGAGGGGGCAGGGAAGAGTGGAGGTATGGCGGGAGGTGACCGAGAAAGTAGAATCGGCTCCAATGATGGTGGAGGGGTTAGGGAGGGGGGTGAGGGCACCAGCATCACGAAGGACTGTGACACTGGCGCCGCTGTCAATGACAAACTCAATGGAAGGAGGGGTGGGGTGAGACACGGAGTACTGGAAGGAGGTTTCATTAATAGACTCGGGATACATTGGAGGAATAGCAAGAGAGGCATGACTAACATGGTTGATGAAGCCAGGTGAGGGAAATGGGGTAAAGCCAGGAGGTCCGGTGGGGGCCTGCGCAGGAGGAGCAGGAGCAGACAGGCCGGAGCTCCAGGCGGAGGGAGGGGAGGGCTGCTGCTGAGACTGCTGGTGCTGCTGAGACTGTTGCAGCTGCTGGAGGAGCTGCTGCAGGAGCTGCTGCGGCTGCTGCTGGGACTGCTGCGGCTGCTGGTTCTGCTGCGGCTGCTGAGTCTGCTGCGGCTGTGGGGACGGAAGGAGGGGCGTGACCTGCTGGAGGATCTGTGGAGGGAGGTGTTGTGCGAGGATGTGGTGGAGAGAGGTAGAGGAGGGCTGATAGGCGGGGAGGGTACGAACATCAAAGGGAGTGGGAGGTGGAGTGATAGCGGACCAGCGAGGGGGCGTGCCCGTGTTGCCTCGATCAAGCCACTCATCAGTGAGGGCCTTGAAACATGTGGTGGTGGCATGGGTGGTTTGGAGGCAGCGCTTACCCTTGTTGGGGCCGTTGCGGATGAGATACTGACACGGGGAGAAGCCGCCGGTGCTGTTGGAACCACTGCTACCCCGCGTCCTCCACTGCGCCCCCCGCCACGTCCACCACCCGATCGTCCCGCCGAAGTACCGCCACGGCCAGCACCACGTCCTCCTTTTGCTTGGGCAGCATGAGCCGTTGGAGGAGACTGGCGGAGAAGCTCCGCTTCAGTTTTCAGAATCCATGCGGCTACATAGGCGGAGTCGGGTGGGAAGCTGGCGTGGACCTCATTGAACGCCACGCGACGGGCCTCATACATGGGTGTGAGGCCGTCGAGGAGGCGGCAAACGATGAGGGAGTCGGGAAGGGGAGAGCGACGATCGGCAAGGCGTTTGGCAGTGGTGAGGAGGCGGCGCGTGAAGGAGAGGGCGTTAGGGCAGGAGTCAAGGTTGATGTCGAGGAAGGCGCGGTGGAGTGCTAGGAGAGAGTTGGTGTCCTGGAGGTCATAGGTGGCACATAGCTCTTTCCAGAACTCGGGAGCGGAGGAGGGGGTAATTTCGCGTTTGAGGGAGGAAGGAACGCATGCAGACAGGATAGCGAGACATTTGCGGTTGGCAACGTTCCAGGCAGAGTGGCGACGACGGTACTCACGAAAGTCGTCAGCATACTTAGCCGTGGCGTCCTTGTGCTGTTGGAGGAGTGTGTTGGCGGCGTCGTGCGCAGCTTGCTCTGCGTCATACGCGTGATGGAGGAGAGTGTACTCCGCAAAGTCCTTGTCATATTGGTGTTGCACGCGAGCCCAGCGATCAGGGTCGTCGGTGTAGACCAGTGGAGAGGGCTTGGTGGGGGCCGGTCCCGAGGGGGCCGGGGGTGGGGCGGGAGGTGCAGGGGAGACATCAGCGGGACATTCGGGGGGCTGCCCTGCGTCATTGCCAAGGAGAATGTCAAGGAGGCAGTAGTCGTTGATGATAGCGGATCCGAGGACATTGGTAAGGCTCTGGGCAAAGGTAGCCCAGTTGACAGGGACGGCGTCGTCGATGAGCTCGAGGACGTCGATGGTGGAGATGTCGACGGCGAGTGTTTTGGTGGTCATGGTGCGATTGCGGATGCTGCTGCTGTTGCTGCTGGGGATGAGTGGAGAGGGGAGAAGGAGGAGGGAGGGGAGGGGGGGGAAATACGGCTGCTGCTGCTGATGGTGCGGCTGCTGGAGATGAGGCGGCTGCTGCAGCTGGTGGGGGGAGGAAGGGGAGTAGGGGGAGGAGGTGAAGGCTGGTGGAGGGTGCGGTTGCGGTTGCTGATGCGGCTGCTGTGTTTGATTGAGGAAGGATGCGGCTGCTGCTGTTCGTGGGGAAGGAGGAGAGGAGGAGAGGGGAGGGGGGGGGGGGGGAGGGGGAGAGAGGGAGGGGAGGAGGGGAGGGAGGAAGGGGGGGGGGAGGAAGAAGACGGGTGCGCGGAGCGCAGCTCTTAAGTCGCCGTAGGCTTCTTCGGGCGCCGATGCGAAAGGCGACGGCCGGCGCAGATGGTGAGGACCGGACGCCGAAATGTAGACGAGCGCCGCGCCGAAATGCGGCCGGGCGCCGCGCCGAAATGCGGCCGGGCGCCGCGCCGAAATGCGGCCGAGCGCCGCGCCGAAATGCGGCCGAGCGCCGCGCCGAAATGCGGCCGAGCGCCGCGCCGAAATGCGGCAGGAGCGCCGGGCCGAAATGCGGCCGAGCGCCGCGTCGAAATGCGGCAGGAGCGCCGCGCCGAAATGCGACCGAGCGCCGCGTCGAAATGCGGCAGGAGCGCCGCGCCAAAATGCGGCCGAGCGCCGCGTCGAAATGCGGCCAAGCGCCGCGTCGAAATGCGGCCGGAGCGCCGCGCCGAAAAGCGGCCGAGCGCCGCGTCGAAATGCGGCCGAGCACCGCGTCGAAATGCGGCAGGAGCGCCGCGCGAAAATGCAGCGCTTAAGGGCGCGAGGAGAGGCGCTTAAGGGCGCGGGGAGGGGCGCTTGTGGGCGCGGGGAGGGGCGCCTAAAGGCGCAGAGAAAGACGCTGAAGGGCGCGGGGAGGGGCGCTTAAAGGCGCGGAGAGGGGCGCTTAAGGGCGCGGGGAGGGGCGCGTTGGGCGCGAGGTGGCTAGGGATCGAACGACGGAGAGGCATGAACCATAAGCTCTGAAACCATGTGAGAATCTGAAGTGATGATTGTATTAGGAAAGGAGTGGGTATACATAGGTGAGGAGTAGGAGGGAGGGGGGGGGTTTTGGTTGGGAGGTGACCACGATTATTGGTGACCCCAATAAGTTGAGTTGGCCAACTTATTGGGGGTCCAATAATCCTAGCCAAGATTATTGGTGGGTCCAATAATCTTGGTTGGGATTATTGGGGGTTCCAATAATTGGGAGCCCAACCAATTTGGGAACCCAACAAGGTTGGGAACCCAACCCCCAACTTGGGTGTATACACCCTAGTGGGGTGCTTATAAGTTCCTAAGACAATGAAACGATGTAGGCTAATAGAATGAAGGGAGAATAGTCTAACACCTCCTTCCTCCTTCCTCCTTCCTCCTTCCTCCTTCCTCCTTCCTCCTTCCTCCTTCCTCCTTCCTCCTTCCCCCTTCCCCCTTTTCCCTTCCCCCTTCCCCCTTCCCCCTTCCCCCCTTCCCACTTCCTCCTTCCCCCTTCCTCCTTCCTCCTTCCTCCTTCCTCCTTCCTCCTTCCTCCTTCCTCCTTCCTCCTTCCTCCTTCCTCCTTCCTCCTTCCTCCTTCCTCCTTCCTCCTTCCTCCTCCCCCCTTCCTCCTTTCCCCTTCCCCCTTCCCCCTTCCCCCTTCCCCCTTCCCTCTTCCTCCTTCCCCCTTCCCTCTTCCTCCTTCCTCCTTCCTCCTTTCCCCTTCCCCCTTCAACCTTCCTCCTTCCCCCTTCCTTCTTCCTCCTTCCTCCTTCCTCCTTCCTCCTTCATCCTTCCTCCTTCCTCCTTCCTCCTTCCTCCTTCCTCCTTCCCCCTTCCCCCTTCCTCCTTCCCCCTTCCCCCTTCAACCTTCCCCCTTCCCCCTTCCCCCTTCCCCCTTCCTCCTTCCCCCTTCCCCCTTCCTCCTTCCTCCTTCCTCCTTCCTCCTTCCTCCTTCCTCCTTCCTCCTTCCTCCTTCGTCCCTCCTCCTTCCACCCTCCTCCTTCCTCCTTCCTTCATCCCCCATTTCCCATCCCCCTTCCCCCCTCGCCTCACCACGGATGAGGGTCAGCTGTTGCCGCACCTCACCTGCTGGGATGCTCTTTGTTTCCGCGAGCGCGCCTGCGGCCTCACCACTCACCCCTCTCTCCCCTTCCCCCTTCCACCACCCACAGGTCACGGGTCAGCTGCTGCCGCACCTCACCTGCTGGGACGCCCTCCGTGCCGCTCTTCCAGTCGGCACCGTCAGCGGTGCTCCCAAGGTGAGTCATTCGCTATAACAAAAGACCCAAATGGAATTTGACTTTTGGACTCACGAGTCATTACGAACCTAAGGTTGAGTCATTAACTCAACAGTGCCCTCTGTCAGCTGTGAGGCACTATGACATATCCAATTGCACCCTGATTGATTGATGTGCACAACATGCCGTGTTGGACGGCTTATAGATGCACCTAGACTAGAGCGAGTACCTTGAAGATAGATACTCATATATACACTGTGGTAGGTAGGTTAGTGCATTGCTTTCTCTGGTCTGGTGTGTGCTGCATACATATGTTTGGATTATCTGCGCATACATGTAATCCCCTCACATTCCTATTTCTCTCTCCCTCCCCCTCAGTTCAGAGCCATGGAGCTGATAGACGAGTTGGAGTTCATGTGCCCCCTCTCCTACCCCCTCTCCTACCCCCTCTCCTACCCCCTCTCCTACCCCCTCTCCTACCCCCTCTCCTACCCCCTCTCCTACCCCCTCTCCTACCCCCTCTCCTACCCCCTCTTTCCACACCCCCCCTCCCCGCATCTCGCACCCCACTCCCTCCCCCTCCCTTGCTCGTCCGAGCCATGGAGCTGATAGACGAGTTGGAGTTCACGCGCCGCGGCCCGTACACAGGTGGCATCGGCTACGTGTCGTTCTCCGGCAGCATGGACTCTGCCCTCGCCCTGCCACCATGCTCGTTCGTCCCATCATCCTCCCATCTCCCCCTCCCCCCCCCTGCCACCCTCCCCTCTTCTCCTCTTCCCCTCTTCTCCTCTTCCCCTCGTCTCCCCTTCCCCACACTCGCCCACATGTCCCTCCCTTCCAGGTCCGAGCCATGGAGCTGATAGACGAGTTGGAGTTCACCCGCCGCGGCCCCTACGCGGGCGGCATTGGCTATGTGTCCTTCGCCGGCAACATGGACTTTGCGCTCGCCCTGCGCACCATGGTCTTCCCCACCTCCTCCTCCAACCGCTCTGACACCCTCTTTAGCTACAACGCTGGCACCAGCAGAGCGGGAACAACTAGCAGCAGCAGCAGCAGCAGCAGCAGCAGCAGCAGCAGCAGTGCAGGTGGTGGTGCTGGTGGTGGGGGAAGGGGGGCAGGGTTGAGGAGTAGGCAGGAGTGGGTGGTGCATCTTCAGGCGGGCGCGGGGATAGTGGCGGACAGCGTGCCCGAGGCGGAGTGGCAGGAGACGGTCAACAAGGCTGCTGCGATGGGGCGGGCGATCGACCTTGCTGAGTCTGCTTTTGTGAACTAGGCTTGAGGGGACAGTGGTTGGTACATGTGGTGCATGTGCAGGTGGGGGCTGGGATAGTGGCGGACAGTGTCCCCGAGGCGGAGTGGCAGGAGACGGTTAACAAGACTGCTGCATTAGGGACGGCAATCCACCTTTGTGAATGCAGACAGGGGGTAGGGATGAGTGCGTTTGTGTGGAGATTGAGCAACAGCAGCAGCAGTAGCAGCAGCTGCAGGAGCGGTTGCTCGGGGCAGCAGAATCAGCAAGCTGCTGCTGCAGCACCAGCATCAGTGCCAATCCAACTGCAATACAACTGGCAGAAACGAGAAGAGGAAGAAGAGCCAGGAGAAAACCCGACTAGCAAAATCGCTAGGGGCTGTTGAGTTGACCTTGCTTGTTGGCAACAGGAGAAGTGTCCTTGAGGTTGAGGCGTCTCTAATGGGCTCAGCCAGACTCTGTAACAATGAGAAATTTGAGATAGCTCGAACCAGACCAGGGATGGTGTGTGGATGGAAGGCCAAGAGAGACTAGGTGAAGAGGAACCCGATGTGTTCCACACTACAAGAGGGAATCAAACAGATACCTAGCAGGGAGTTGTGAGCACTTGGAACGGAGAACTATCAAATACCATACCACCAGGGTCTCAGACAGGCCCCCAAATTGGTTTTGGGCTTGTCTGATTCGTCAGAGTTCCCTGCCTTCCCTTGGTATGGGTGTCAGAGTTACCTCCTTGAAAAAGTCTGAAAAATCAGAGTAGCCATGGATTTTTTGTCTGACCAATCAGAGTCATAGCCAAACTTTTGTATGAGCCTTTTTTATGGTTCTTCATTAGAGAATGCACTACATTTCACTACATACACGGAATCAGTCGATATCCTCCATATCCTGTTGAGGTGCTGCCGGCATATCATCATCTACTTTCTCCTTTCCTTTCCTGCTTCTACTGGCCTCGGGCAGGGCGTTGCTAAGGGGCTTCCTCTTCTTATAAGCCCGCCAGATGGTAACCACGTCTTCCCAGTCGGGGTCATACTCTAGCTGCGACATGCACATCAGATCTCCTAGCCTAGTATCCTTGAGAGCCCCCCGCAGCCAACTCTTGATGACGTTCTGGCGGGAGAACCCGCGCTCGCACTCGACAGTGCTCAACAGAAGGACAGCCACCGCCACCCACAAGTTGACCAGGTTGGGGTAGCTGTCCCTCCAGTCCTGCGTCTTGAGCATGGCGCTCAGCCCCGCATGGAATTACTTGTCCGCCTTGGGAAGCGCAGCAAGGACGGGAACGAAGTTGCAGAGCTCGCTCTGGGCTTTGCGCTTGTCTATACCTAATCAGACAAGGGCACACAAGGAGAGGGAGAAGGGTTGGGTTATCGGAAACAGTACACAGCTAGTAAAAGATAGGTGTCTTGTTTCAGATACATCGCCAAAGGGATACTGGAAGGAGTAAACGGTGATTCACCTGGCAGAATCTCGTCCCTGTCTTCAGCGCGGTAGATGACCACGAGCGAGTTGAACCACTCGAGGCACTGCGTCCTCCGTGCCTGTCGGTCCCAGTTGGGCGGCCATGTGTCGATGCTGAACAGGCGCGCTCCCGACAGCTGCCGCAGATCGCCTAGGTGCTCGTCGAGGTTGCGGACCAGGCCCTCCGCTAGAGCCATGCACGCCACGACACTCCCATCGTGGTCGCTGGGCCCCGGGTAGTCCTCTTGGGGCTCTTCATGCAGCTCGAAGATGAACCGTGAAGGTCGGCCGTCGGAGTCGATCCCCTCCACAGTCACTAGCTTGGACTTGCCGGGCCCGTGCTTGGCAAGAAACCGCGTCAATCGATCGTTGGGCCCGCCGGTGAAGTCGTCTCCGCATTCCACGTAGCGGCTCTTTAGCAGTGAGGTCGTGCGGATGATCTGCGCGTGCACCGTCGTGTAGTCCAGCTGGTGGGTAGGGGGGCGAGGAGAGGTAGGGCATCACAGATGGATGTGTGGTTAAGGGACGAGCGGCAGAGACAAGCAACAACATCGACATGCATGCAAACACAAGCATTAAAAAAGTTTACCTCCCGCTGCTGGAAGACCTTGTTGAGGACGTTCAGCAGCTCCAGCACGTCGGCGAGGAACATCAGGAGGAGCCAGAAGCGGTAACTAGTGACGAGCGCGTACAACTTGGCGTCGTACTCCTGCAGCATGACCACGATGGCTGGTAGGACCTCGACCATGCGGATGACCGCATCTCCGCGCGACAACCAGCGGATGTTGTGGATGCCCTAGAGCTCGAGGTTCGTCAACATGAACACCTCATGGAGCTCCAGGAACCGTTGATGCCAAGGGTTGGAGAGACCGAGCAGCTTTGCGATCTCGCGAATGATGTTGTCCACGATGCTGAAGACAGGGATCTCCTCGGCAGCAGCCTTTGCCGCCAGCGCCTCTCTGCGTGGGATAGGGAGATGAGATGCAAACTAGGAAGCAAATTAGGGATTGGAATTATAAACAAAACAAGAAGCAAATATACATGACATGCACACAGCAAATGGATGATGAACCGATGGGCAATGCAATGGCAAGAGACAAGGTGCGGAACGTGAAGACAAAGGCGGGCCACAAGTCCTGAGCGCGATCCCATCATGACGGCAGCACCGTCAGTGCTTATGCCAGAGATGCAGCCGAGGTCGACGCCCATCGCCTGCAGATGGGACAGCAAGAGGGCGAGAAGCGATGTCGCATCCGTCTTATCCACTGTCAACAGAGCCAAGTACTCGGTTACAAGCCGCCCTTAACGGGCGAACGTGGCAAACACGATCATGTGCTTGCCACGGCAACGATCGGTGCTTTCGTCGAGGCTCAGGCCAATGTAGGGACTTGCTAGCAGGTGTTGGAGTTCAGTCGTCTGCAGCCACGTTGCCGTCGCTTGTGTCAGCTCGCCGAAGCCGTACCCGTTACATGACACGCACAAGCCAAGTCGTTGTACGTTTCATATATAAAGATGAGACACAGAGAAGTTCATAGTTACTGGAGTTCTCACCAGTAATAGTACGTGCCGTAGGCGGACTTCGGGAAGCCCTTGAAACTGCGCGATGAGAGGTAGCGCACCAAACGAATCCATGTTTCCATGGGTTCGTTACACTTGGCGCAGAAGTAAAGGGAGTCGAGCAGCGCAATGACTCGCTCCTTCTCTTCGTCGGCCGCATGTCGATCCGCTTCTGGTTCGACACCAGTTGCAGTGTCCTGCTTGGACATGGCGAGGCGATGCTTCTGCGTCCCGGCGTGCTTCTTGAATGACTGGGTCTGCACGTCCGTAGCTCCCTTGCCCGATTTGCCGGTACGCCCTGCAGGTCCTGCATGCACTGTGCATACACTGCACTTGAAGGCCGGGAGCCCTTCGTCAGTTTTCAAGAGCATGAGCCAAGGGAATCTGTCAGACCAGCAAGATTTGAAATGCTCTTGTGCCTCAGCATAGATGTCCTTGTTCGTTCTAGCAGTGGACCTGCCGCCAGACGATTATGGCGTATCCGCAGGTACAGAGGGGCTCGGCACAGGCTCAGGCGGATCCTGGCATGTCGACGTGGAGGCGTACGGCAGAATCACCTGCCTGTAGCGGAACCTCTTCGCCGCCGTCACCGATGGCGTGGTGCCGGCGACAGGAGCTGAAGCAGCGGGCAGGGGGCTTGCATCCGCAGAATTCTTGCCCGCTGCGTCGGGAACAGGCGCATTGCCATCAGCAGGGGGGCGTCACTAGGCTTCCTCTGAGGGCTACGATCGGAGGCATCCGACTGCCACAGGAACTCTAGCGCGGCGCGACCATCGCGGAAATTCTCGGCACACCAGTACACTTCTTCTTCTTCGTCATAATTTGCCTTGTCTACGTCCTCATCGAGGTCGGCCTGCTCCATGGCCTGCAGGCGCGGTGGGAAAACAAACACACTATAAGAAAACCGAGGGGCTACACGAAGCTTGGGTGACGTTTTGCAGGAGGGGGGAGAAGCACGGTCGTTTTCCCCGTCAGTAATGAACTGATGGAGAAGGAGGGGGTCTGCCAGCTGCAACTCCATCGCGGCGCGCGAGATGCTGTCCATGCATGAATGAACCGGGCACTCGTCGCGTCAGCATGGGTGCGGTGCCTCATCTGTTGTGCCTCACCAAGCAAAATGCCTCTGGATTGGCGAAAACAGCCGTGTTTTGGTCAAGGACCAATCGGCTGCTCGGGCTATCTCTGTGCTGGCGCCATCACACAAAATTTGCCCGCCCGACGGCTCGGGCCGCGCCAACGCAAATGTAAATCTGCCGTGATTGACGGTGACGATAGAGGTACCAGCGCAAATCTCGCAACCCCCCCTCAAATGACGGTAGTATATGAATCAGAGTCCCCCCCCCATACAAGGATGAAGCATCAGAGTACACTTAAAAAAGAAGTCTGAAAAATCAGCGTAGGTACATAAGAATTCTCTGAAAAATCAGAGTAACATAGAAAAATAAATTCTTTGGGATCCGAGTACACCCCAAAAAAATAATTGAAAAAGGTTTAAATCAGAGTAAAAAGTCTGCAATTTGGGGGCCTGGTCTCAGAGTAGAAGATTGACTAGAATACCGGTAGAAGGTATAGGGTGAGTTTGTACTGGAGTGTTGTACCCTCTAAGTGCATGAACCTATCTAGCCTATAATAACATACACAAATATGTTTGAAAGAGGGTTCCTCCGATCAGAAAAAATCCGTCTGTTGGTCTGATTTTCAGACCGATTTTCTTGGCATTATGTGATTTTCAAAAAATTAATTTCTTGATTACCTATCTTATTGATTAAAAAAAATGTTTTTAGACAGCCTGATATTTCAGACTCAGTGTTCTTGTTCGTCTGAAAGCGAGAGATGCGCCCTATAGGCGTGAGTCACCTGTATTCCCTTCGAGCGCAGGATTTCGGCTAAGTCCCCATAGCCACTCACTCACTCCTCGTCTGTTGCCCAGTCTAGCTGTGAGGCTGAGATCTACGCTGGTGCCATGGCGGCACAGGAGCTCCGCTGGCTGACCTTCTTGCTTATAGACTTAGGTGAGCGGCCTAGCTCTGCCCCGGTCGTGTCGCTGACAACAGGGCCATGATCCTCCTGTGTCAGGAGCCTAGACTCGAGGGCAGAGCGAAGCACATCCAGCTGCGGTACTTCCTCCTGCGCGAGCTACAGCAGCGTCGCCAGGCCCGCGTAGTACACTTGGCCTCCGGTGCCAACACAGCTGATATCTTTATGAAGGCGCTTGCGCCTAAAGATCATCAGCGGCACTGTGTACAGCTAGGTCTCGTCCCTGTAGCCTTTCACTTGCTAGGACCTTGATTGTGTACAGACCTGTATATATATTACCCTGAATGGCCTTGTGGCCTCTTCCCAATGGCTGGACTAGTAGTGCCGCCCTGGTCTTGCTTTTGCCTTGTTGGTACTCGTTTAACAGGTCTTTAGACCCTTGCCTCAGAGGCTGGACTAGAAGTGCCACCGTGAGCAGCTTGTCTGTCACCAGGCACTTCCCCTATCTAGTCTAGGGGGTGTGTCAAACACATCTTTGTATATTGTTATAGACTATATAGGGTTGCGCCTTCGGGAGTACAACCCTGTATGTCATTGTTCTAGTCAATTTTGTTAGCTATGATAGTACATTCTTCCCATACCTACCGCATCTTAGAAAGTTCGATTGAGTCCCACATAGCCAGGAACATGCGTCTTTTTAAAGTATACTCGACATAGTTACTGTTTATGCATTCTTGATATCATACTTACACTAAACTAGTAGCACAATACCTTAGATGGAAGGACGCGGGTGATGACGTCAGCAAAAGCGA